CACAGGTCAACAAGGGGAACTCCCCCCTCCATGCCCAACCAGGTCTCGGTGATACCTGCCAGGTCCGCTCCCCCCTCCTGAATAAGTTCTTGGATGAGGGGGGCCTTATTCACCACGGACCTGGCATTGCACAGCATCAGCCGATGGTCCCGGGCCTGAAGATCCAAGGTCCCTGGAGGTCGAGTAGAGCCCTGAGGACCGGAGCATCCACAAGCTAGTAAGCAGCGTGTGCGTGCTCCCAAAACCCGATGTGGTCCTCTGCTCCCGCCATATCTGCCCCTCCCACTGATCGTACCTATCACACCACCCTCCGCCAGCTCCCCAGTCTCCTCCCTTACCCCGCGCCCCCCAGACTAACATATATTACTCTCTGCTGGCTTTCCAACCTGTCTACCTTTTGTGTTGACATTACAGCTCCCAGAATCCCCAAGTCAGCATGGTTTGCAGCATAAATGGAGGGAGACAGATTGGGGAAAACTATTTTATACATTGTCATATTCCCCCCCCCCCAAGTACATTATTTAAAAATGTACTTATGCATTTCCAAAGTTTCATAGGTTGTATAATATTTCCACAAATATACCAAAAATAGATCTGTAAATTACAGGTAGTCTTCACTTAACACAATTGGAACTGGCAACTCTGTTGCTAAGTGACGCAGACGTGAAGTGTAACATTAGATGACTGTGATAACTTACATCAGCAATTGTGGCATTTCTGCTTGTAATATTAAGTAAAATGTGTGCAGTCATTAAGTGCAACATCATGTGACCACAACTCCTGCTAGCTTCCCCATTGACTTTGCTTGGCAAAAGCTGATAGTGATGGTCACAAATAATGATCATATGACCATAGGACACTGCAACAACCAGAACTTCAAGGAACCATCATAAGTCTTTTCATATGGTGCCATTGTAGCTTTGAATGGCACTGAACAAGGGGTCCTTAACTGTGTTTGTATTTCTTTGCATGTAATAAACTCCCAGTCGTAACGTGTAAAGTATATTATTTGGATAGAATGCAATACTACTTCCTCCAAAGTGATAGATTTACATCTCTGTGTATCATCTTTGAATGAGTTCTAGCCTAGCCTCCTTGGATCTTTTAGATTGGGACAATAATTTGATTTAAATTATTGGTATTCAGTATGTTCCAGTCATGCGAGGCCCTGCTTCTAATTTGAAGTACTATATCTCATTTATAGTTTTGAAAAGAAATGTGCATTAAAATCTCCTTCTAGCCTAATTTTAAGATACAACAGGGTTTCAGCTTACTTTGAGTGCATTGTGAACTCATTCATAAGGAAAGTTACAAAATGTTCATAAGTCTGCAAAGAGCGCTGATATGTGAACATATGGTAAAATAATTGTCAACTTAGAAGTAACTTAACTTCTTCAGAATTCCTTGTAGTTTGAGGGTTTGGTCACAAGGGGTCACCCATATACCAAGAAAAAAAAATCTAATTAAATGGTCACACAAAACAAGGGTTTTTTTCTTTTCATACCTGTTTGATAAGCCTTTAAGAGTGAAATCTATGTATTTTCAGCATATTTTGAGGGTTCTTATTTTATTAATAAGATAGGCAGTGGACTTTGCCTACAGTATATATAGTTTAACTAATGGTCAGGTTATTCAGGAACCAACCTTTTGAAAAGAATCTAGTAAATAAAGTTATCTGCAAAATACTGAAGACAGAAGGGCACCGCTTTCTCTTTTTCTCTTACTGTATTTTAAATGTCAATTTCCTTTACAGGTAGCCCTTGACTTACAACGGTTCATTTAGTGACCATTCAAAGTTATGGTGGCACTGAAAAAAGTGACTTACGACCTTTGTTTCATACTTGCTATTGTTGCAGCATCTCCATGATTACATGATCAAAATTGAGTTGCTTGGCAACTGACTCATATTTATGACAGTTGCACTGTCTGGGGTCATGTGATCCCCTTTTGCAACCTTCTGACAAGCAAAGTCGATGGGGAAGCATTAACGACCGTGTTACAAACTTGCAGTGATTCACTTAACAACTGTGACAAGAAAGTTGTAAAATGGGACAAAATTCATTTCACAAATGTTTTACTTACCAACAAAAATGTTGGGCACAGTTGTGGTCATAAGTCAAGGACTACCTGTACTTTCTTTAGGATAAGGTTTAACTGTTCAACATTTGTTACAAGGTTTGTTTAGTTATTTGGTTTATCTTCTTGTAGAAAGTTTCATATTTTTACACACCCACCCCAAAAAATGCATGTGGCCTCATCCACTATAATATTTTTGAGGTTCACTTGCAAAGAGGTTCAGGGAAGGGAGATTGTGCTTCTAGAGCAGGGGTGTCAAACTGCCGCGCCCCCCCCCCGGGCCGGTTGCATCATACGGAGGCCATGCCCACTCCAGCTCCAGCAATGCAAAAAAAGTCACGATACGGCACGATGCACCATGTGACACGCCGAGTTTGACACCTGTGTTCTAGAGGGTGTTTGTGTGATCCACAGGTGCTGAATACATCATTATGAAGTGGATCATTAAGTCCTCTTATTAAAAAAAAACATTGTTATATTTTTTGGGGTGATGTTGTTACCAAAATATCTGCTAAATGTTTAGGAACCTTTTTGTATGTTTTTTTTTTCCCAGGTGAGACATGGAATCCATTAAAATTGCATTACCAGTTAAGAAACGTCCGGGAACGGTTAGCCAAAAACCTAGTTGAAAAGGGGGTTTTGACTACGGAGAAACAGAACTTTCTCCTCTTTGACATGACCACGCACCCCCTCACCAATAACAACATTAAGCAGCGCCTCATCAAGAAAGTTCAAGAAGCTGTGCTTGACCGATGGGTGAATGACCCCCACCGCATGGACAAGCGCTTGCTGGCTCTCATTTACTTAGCCCACGCGTCAGACGTCCTGGAGAACGCTTTTGCCCCCCTTCTGGATGAGCAGTATGACCTTGCCACAAAGAGGGTGCGGCAGCTCCTGGATTTAGACCCTGAAGTCGAATGTATGAAGGCTAACACAAACGAGGTTCTGTGGGCTGTCGTAGCGGCCTTCACAAAATAAACACAATCAGACTGCTCAAACACTTTTTTTCCTCATTTCATGTAAATCAGTTAATCTTCTCTTGATGATTCATATTTTCTGTCATCTGTACCTCCCCTTTTGTGATGAAAATCGGCTCCTGTTCATAAGAATGGTAGGTAATGTGTTCTGGGTCCCCATACACCCACCCACCCCCCGCTGCCACCCATATATGTCTACTACGGGATTCTGCTGGTGCAAGAAAGCTACTTCCTGTTCTTAAACTGGTGAGCTGTCATATTGTCATTCTGTTTTATATCCAATTTAAGTTACTTTAGATTGTGTACTTCCTTTTCTTCCTCTGGAATGCTGTTGTACAAAAAAAAAAAAACCCACTTCCCAGGAGAGAAGCAAGAACCTAATTTCCAGTGGATTTAGCTCTATAATGTAACTCAGCAGCAGAGCATTATGAAGTAAAATCATAGAAGGATTTTGACATCCCAAAGTTTAGCTACATTGAAATCTGGAGAAAGTGTTTTTACAGGCAGTGTTAAACCAGTAACACTTATGTGGGAAACTTATATAGAACCAACCCAGCTGAATGAAAGCATAAAAGCAATACTTGGTGAAATATATTTTCTTTCTTTATTGAAGTTTGGATGTGTTCAAATAATTCTAAAACCTTGAATATCCCAAATGGGCTCAGTAATTTTTTGCATATTGCTGCCCATGCAAAAATATATTAATTTTATGCTTTGTTTTTTTCCTCTGCAAAATATTCTGAAATCTCAGATTAGTACAGAAGGGCCCAATTGTTTCACAGAGAGCTTTTATGATGGGATGCATTCCAGTGTGGCCTGTACATAGTAAGAATTGTATATTAACACATGAGCACATTAAATGATTTTAGTAAAATTCCAAATGTCAATGGATGGTACACCTGGCATTCCATTACTTGCTTTTTCAACTGCTGCCTTCCCGTCTCCCCTGCCCTGTTTTTGGAAGCTGGTCCTCCTAGAAATGAGTGAATGAACATGTGTGATTCTTTTCTGACCTGCCTGGGTTTTGTGCCATCCAGGTACAATCTGCCTATGCACTGCCTTGATAGTATTTGTAGTATGATGAAACTACGTTATTATAATTTTTTAAATCTTATTTTCAGAAGAGGCTTGTGACCAGTAAAATTCTTTGTGCAGTTTTCAGTTTTAGTTAATTCACAACCTAATACAGTACTATGTCTCATGTCATTAATCTACTTAACACTTCAAAAAAAAATATCAGCTGTCAATCTTAGCAAGTATTGCATGTAAATTGTTAGCAGGTGAATACTACAGTTAAACCAATTAAGAGTTCTGTAGTAGGACACTCTACTATGTTTTAATTTTTATATACAATTATGCTGATTAGCACATTATTGTAAAATATATAAACTGGCTTTTTAAAGTTTATTACCTCTTTACTGTTGCTTGTCCTTGCTTCACAATGTAAATATTATGCATTGAACAAATTAAAAACTGGCTTTCCCCCCCCTTTTTGGTTCAAATAACAGAACACATTAATAGTGGGGCTGGTATCTAGAGATTTTTCTTTTAACACTGAAAACAGAGAATACTAAATGATGCATATAACTGTAGTTGAAAGTAAAGGGAATTCCCAATCTGTATACTAGCTTTTTACCTATGGTAAATAAACCTATGATCTTGAAAGTGCCTGAAACAGAGCAAGCATATAATTTTGTATTTTGTGTTCTTAATCCTGATTATATAGTAATCTGTGTTATGTAGAGTTGGGAACTGCAGAAATCCTTTAGGGCCTGGAGATTTCTTGCAAACAAAGAATGGATGCATCATCTTTTCATCTTCCAAGGATGAAACCTGTCTCTGATTAGATCAATTTCTTCTATCCAGCTTAATGATAAATAGAAACATTTTTATGATCTGAAATTTGTCTTGTTTCTTAGCAGTAAGTAATCTAAGTTTTCATGTAGTGATTCTTTTATTGAACGAGAAGATGGCGACTCTTTCTTCCACAAATATTATAGCACAAGAAGCTGACAGCTATGGACTATGCTGCTATAGGATTGAATTCCTAGCACCTAAAAAAGAGGAATTAGAATCGAGTACTGTGAAATGTTTTCATTTGTTCTACAGCAGGGGTATCAAACTGCCAGCCCGCCAGCCAGTTGCATCATGCAGTGGCTGCGTTCACCCCAGCTCCAGCAATGCGAAAAAAGTTGCGGTATGTCGTGACACGTCACGTGACGCGGCGAATTTGACACCCGTGCTTTACAGTTTTGAGACATAATTATATATATTACAATTTTGAGTTCAACTTCTTTGTATATGCATAGTCATGTAAACTGGATGAAAAATATGTGTATTTGATAATTACTCAGCTTTGCCAAATGTTATGCAGCCAATCTAGCTGGTGAAAACGAAGTTACAAAAATGGCTCAGAACTTCTGCAGCATCACTTTTTGGGAAAGTTGGTCCAAAAGGAGAAGAGTAACTTAACTAAGCCCAATGCAGACAGTAGCCCTCATAGAAAGCAATGGTCTATGTTCTCACAACTATGTTTGTGTAAAAATTGGGGGATTACAATTCCCATCATCAATTCCAATGAATGTCATAGATTAAATTAGTGTTGGACTAGATTAAAAAAAAAGTTTTCGCTAAAGCCACCTGAATAAGAAACCATCATTTGCAGCAATAGAAAGGATTCAAGAATGGTTAGTTGAAATTCATAGAATACTTTTGCTTTCCTGAGGCCTAGAAAAGCATTTTTGGTGAGTGAAGGACAGTTAATGTGTAATTCTAAGTATCTAAACTTGCCCACTGTCTCGAACTGTACAAGCTGAAAACTTTGGGAATATAAAAAGCTTTTAATAAGCTTTCAGGAAATACACCACCCTTTGCCTTCCTATAGAAAATCTTTTTATTATCTAAAATAGCTCTAATGGTTGGTTTTGTGCAGCTCTAATTGTAGTGCTAAAGCAAAGGTTATGTCTATGTCTAGACTAAGTGCAAAGATTTCTCAAGATTTCTCTTCTACTTATATTCATGTTTACAGGATTAATTATTGGGATTTATATAGTCCCCTTGTTGAATACTTGAAGCTATTTCACAATTTTTTAACTAAAGGCCCTAGTTAGTGTTACTTTAATAATATTAAAATATTTTTAAACATTGGAAATAAGCCAGCTGACTAAATCTTAGTCCGTCTGCAATAAGCTGAGATGTTGTTAATTGGTGGCTAGTTGCTAGGCTTCTGAGAGCTGACTTGTAAGTTGAAATGCCTGCTCAGACATGTACTTAGCAGGTGAGCGGGTTGTGTGAATGACCTTGTGAGTCTCACTAATAATGATCTAATCTTGGAGATTTCATGACAATTGCTGAGATAAAGAACTGGTCCCTTATGCTAAGCCCTAAGCCCAATATATTTAATGGTGAATATTCAGGATTTCCCACACTCTTAAGACTATTCAGTCAGTGAATAGATTTAAGATTTGAATACCCACCATAATGTAGGTCATTGAATAATATTATACATCATATTTCCCAGGAGTTTAGAACGAAACTGAATGTAGATGCAGTAATGTCCTATTTTCCATAAGTAAAAGTGTGTTGCTTTTTGTTAGTTTCTTTGTGATGGCTTTTGTAATAAGGAAAAAACAAATATTGTGTAAAACTGAAGTTTGATGGATCTTCAAAGCATGTTACTTTCCAATTGCTCAAGTGAAGCATTTTCTCGATCCTACTTCTTCAATTGTCTTTGGTAATAATTCAAATAAATCATAGAGGAATTTGGAATTCCTTACACACAAACCATTTGCTTTTCTGCCGATCTACATTGTAGCACAAATCTGAACTAATAAAGTCTGGATACTTACCCATCAGCAAGGAAAGATGCATATTTACATTAACATGTTTTGTAATTTATAAACGTGAATTAAAATACTTAAAATTTAAACTAGCCTTCCTCGACCAGGTTTCTTCTATCTTTATAGATCAGGATGCAAAAAGCTAATATATAATGCAGTTGATAATAGTGAAAAAGACTATTGACATTATGCTGAATTTGGACAAAACCTTTAATTAGAAGAGACACCTTCTAACAGAGAGCTATCCTCCATAAACTGAGTAATCGTTATGTGTTTCCCCTATTCAGGGAACACTGAGGCAGCAAGGAAGGAACTAATATTGAAAGAAAAGAAACGGAGTAAGCCTGGGGTAGAAATAGATCATGGGCTCGCTGAAGACTAACTTACATGAAAAAGATGATGGAAATGGATCAGTTCAGAGACCCAATTAGAAGCAGCTATTGATGCTCCTACATATTAACACAAGGCTTGTTTGTAGAAATTGAGAGAGAAAAAGAGAGTGATTGCACACAAGAAGACTTCCACTCTTACCTGGATCCTTGGAGATCCTGTGATAGGGGCAACCCAACATTTGCAGGCCTGCAAGGTGTTTGAGATGCTTGTTTTGAGTAAAACTACAGGTAGTCCTCAGGTTACGATCACAATTGAGCCCAAAATTTATGTTGATAAGCGCAACATTTGTTAAGTGAGCTTTGCCCCATTTTACGACTTGCCATCATTGTTAAGTGAATCGTTGCGTTTGTTAAGTTATAACATGGTTGTTAAGTGAATCTGGATTCCCAACTGACTTTGCTTGTCAGAAGGTTGCCAAAAGCTGATCACATGACTGCAGGACACTGCAACCGTCATAAATATGAACCAGTTGCCAAGGATCTGGATTTTGTTCATGTGACTGCAGGAATGCTGCAACAGTGAAAAACGGTCATAAGCCACTTTTTCCAGTGCCATTGTAATCTCTAAATGTAAGTCGAGGACTACCTATAATGCAGTGTCTGCTTGTTCTAATTCTTCATCTTTTCTATCTGGTTGGGTTCTTGGCCAAAATGGAACCAAGAAGAATCTCTGCAACTTCTGGAAGGCAGAAATAAAAATTGAAAGAAAGGGGTTTCTTCCATGGGAATGGAAAAAAACATGCCCTTTCTAACCCCAAAAATGTGAAGTTGACCCTTGCTTATCACTCCACCTTCCATGACTGAGAAAGGCCAAACTTTAACAAACACATTTTTTTAAACGAGGAGTTTGAATATGTTCCCCAGATTTAGTGACAGGCTCACATGTGGCCCATTTGAACAATCTCCAGTGTTTCCTGATCGCTGCTT